TTCCAGGATAGGTTAGAAAATTTGGGGCACGTTATTTCGGAGGCTGGAGTTGAAATCGACCCAAAGAAGTTGGATACGGTTAATTATGTGCAGAGCTTTTTTAATTTAGGGTTCGTTAATTATGTGCGTCGGTTCGTCCCCGATATGGCATGGTTAACTGCCCCACTGACGGATTTACTGCGGAAAGGGGTCGCTTTTACGTGGGGGGAGAAAGAGCATGCTGCCTTCTCTGCCCTGAAAAATGTTCTCTGTTCACCGCCCGTCCTGCGCATCGCCGACCCACACCACCCATTCGAAGTAGTTACCGACGCAAGTGACGTTGCCATCGGAGCCGTACTACTACAGGACTTCGGCAACGGCCTACAGCCCATCGCATACGAGTCACCAAAACTGCATCTGCTCGAGAAAAATTACCCGATACACGACCGCGAAATGCTTGCGATCGTGCACGCGTTCAAAGTATGGCGCTATTACTTGACCGGTGCAGACGTGACAGTACGGACAGACCATAAGTCACTACCGTACCTTCGCGCACAACCACACCTCAACCCAAGACAGATTCGCTGGCTCGATTTCCTCGAGTCCAACTTTCACTACACGGTCACTTACAAAAAGGGAGCCTCGAACATCGCTGCTACACTGACCCGCCCCACTGCCTAGATCCACGCAATACTACTCGCCCAGACAAGCCTACTACTGACAGACCTATTTTCCCACGGGTACCAAACAGATCCATTCTTCACGAGAGGAAATTCGCAGCACTTCGCAGCAGCAAGGGGAGTCTATTACGTAAAAGCCGGGACTGACCGTATTTGGGTACCTAGGTATACACTGCTACGGGAATTACTATTACAGGAGGCACACGACGAAGTTACCTCGCGGCATTTAGGAGTAGAAAAAACACGGCAGCAGCTGCAGCGGTATTATTACTGGCCCGAAATATTGACCGACGTACAGCGACACGTGGCATCATGTCCCTCTTGCCAGCTCATGAAATCATCAAGGCAACAGCCGGCAGGACAGTTGCAGCCGATACCACCCCCAGAGCGTGCTTGGCAGCAGGTGACAATGGACTTCGTCACGGGGTTACCGGCCGGGGCGAGTGGGAACGACGCGATCCTGGTCGTCGTCGATCGACTGACGAAAATGGCACATTTCGCAGCCTGCAAAAAATCAGTCACAGCCGAAGAAACAGCACGCCTCTTCATCTCCACCGTCGTTCGATTGCACGGGATACCAGCCGCGATAATCAACGACCGCGACACGAAATTCACCAGCAACTTCTCGCAGAACCTATGGCAGCAGTTCGGCACGCGACTGCAGTTCAGTTCATCATACCACCCCAAAACCGATGGACAGACAGAATGGACAAATCAGACCATTAAACAGCTCATCAAGGCCACGTGTGACGACCCGACCACGTGGGAAAAGCAACTGCCACTTATCGAATTTGCGTACAACAACTCGCTATCCGCCACGACCCAATAGTCACCATTTTACCTAAACTACGGACAAGACCCGACAGTACCCATGACCCCGAATCCCGACAACCCAGTACCACGAGCACAACAGTTCGCCAAAATATTTCAAGCAGCACGGACCCGGGCAACAGACGCAATAAAAAAATCTAACATCATCGCTAAACGCAACGCCGACTGCCACCGCAGACCTGTCACTTACCAGCCCGACGACCTAGTTTTACTTGACACTCAGAACCTCCGACTGCCCATCACCCCAAAACTCCACCCCCGATACTGCGGGCCATTTCGCATAAGCCACATGATTACACGCGTCACCGCCCACCTCCTCCTCCCTGCTGACTGGTACGTCAGCCCCTCATTCCACGTCAGCCTGCTTCGCCCTTACGTCTGGTCCATGAGCCAACTGCCACGCAATCGCCTAGCCAGCATGACAAGACCACCAACTGAACCAATCATCACCCCCAAGATAATCCTGAGTCACAGAGTCGCGGCCCTCGAGGAGCCCGACAGATCGAGTTCTTGCTCCGCTGGAAGGGCCGTACACCCACCGAAGACATTTGGGTTCCCTTGGACAGAATTGAAAACCACCCCGTCCTCACTGAGTATCTGCGCAGCCAAAATTTCAGGGATGTACACGCACTTTCGTAAGGAGGACCTCCTTAAGGGGGGGGGTAGTGTAAGGAAAATTCCTTTTCCTTACTTCCCGTCCCCGCTCAGCGCGTACACCACTATAGCACCACAGTCAGCACCGTTACCACTCGCAACTCTCACATCGACAATCCTCCCGCCACCTTCGCACGTCGCACCCCAACCTCACGGCTCGGCGCGTATCCCGCGCTCCGGGCCTCCGCTTCAACACTTTTCCCAACCTCAGTCCCAGGCCCGTCACGCGACAACCACAGTCCACTACCGTTACCACTGTAGTTTCGCTATATAGCCTTCGCTCATTGTACTCTTGTTTCGATAGTGCAATTCTCATTCGTTCACTCAATTGCGCTCGTAACACTAGGCTATTAGAGTATGTTATTTTCCCCTCCCACGCTTTCGCTCCCTCCCTTAGTTGCTCCCGAGGCGTCCGTCCCCTAGGGTCCGTTTTGTCGCGGGTAGGATGCCCCCCCGCAGGCCTCGTTTTCGCCGCGTTCAAAGCCCCCCCGCGGGCTCGTTTAGTCGAAGGAAATGACGAACCGCGGTGCTTGCTCGTCTCGAATTCCAACGGGCAGCGGTTTTCCCACTGACCCCCCCACGCGACCGCGCCCGATTCCCGCGGTCAGTTTTCCCCATCAATACTGATCTTGTGGTTTTTTACGAGTTTTGAGATGGCTGACGGTTTCTGCCCGCCATCTTGCGTTCGTGGCTTTGTTTGGGTGGTTGGTGTTCAGATTTGAGAAAAAAACGAAAACAAAGTATCCAGTTCTGCAACCTCGCTGGATTTCGTGAAGAACTCGTTGGGTTGTTTTGTTTCGTGAATTATGTGGTTACATCCCACTGTCATTTGGTACTCTGCATTACCGCTTGCAAACTCTCTCGAACGCGCGCAACCGATTGACGCGAAAAAGTTGACAGGAATGCAACTTTCGGGTGACGGTTATGTGTCTGTCGAAACATCCGTTACTGGTGTACGGAATGGAGCGTTTTGCGTGCGTTGTTTTTTGGACACACCGCGCAACTCTGACACAAGTTTTTCGTAGAAAAACCTTCGGACCCCCAAATTCGACATTTTCCTTTTCCGCGATGACGCAGACTACATCGTCCATTCGCATCTCTGTCCGTTTTTCACCTCTCTCCCCTTTTCAGACGGCAGCTCCGTTCATCTATTTACGTCGCGCTGCTGGGGTACATGAGAGTCGCGCAAAGGACGGACATTGTTGCGCAACAGGCCAAGTAAGTTTACAGTTCTGTTCTTGCACGTGACGCTGTCTTTAAATTATTTTATCGTGCAGTTACCATTTGTTTAGGTACACGTTTTTCCAGGTGCGACATACAACTGTATATGTATTGCTTGCCGTTTCGCCGTTTCCAGTTACGGTGTCGCTTCGGTTTAACGCATTGCTCCTCTGTGGATCGAGTTTAACCCATTCCCCTTTGCAGATCGACGAGTTGCTTCGTTTCCGCGGTGGATTCCTGACCACGTGGTGATGCTAAGACGCATTCCGGCAGGTATGTCTGTTTGTTTTTCTTCTTTGAACGAAGCAAAAAAGTCTTGGATTCTCTCGTGTGGTATACGTTTTTCCATCATTGATCAATTGCTCGTACGGTTCCGTACAGTGCGCATAGCTCGGTTTGTGTGTTTCCTCTCCTGTTTCCACTCTTTCACCCTCACTCGCCCTCTTTCTAACCTCCATTTCAGACGTGTGGTCTTCTACTTGACTACCAGCAGTGCGAGATATTAGGTAAGTAGTATTTTTGGTGAGGTATATGTTCTTTCCTACGCTATTGACTGGGTTGCCGTGTGTTCTCCGTTCTGTTAGCTCATCACTTTGCGCCATGTGTCTTATGTTTGCATCTACACATGTTTATCCGCAGTTCATTACGTTGGCAGCGCCTTCCATTACGGGTGCGACCAAGCCTGTTGCACCGGCATCTCAGTTATCCCGTGTGTAACCATTGTCGCTCGGGCAACCGCGACTTACTCTGCATCTGTTAAGTATGTGTCGTTTGCTAAGTAGCAACATTTTCTTACACTAACCCCGGTGAAGCAATTTCTGCGGGATGCTTTAACAGCAGGGTGTGTTTGCATGTTTTGCAGGGAATGATTGTTTTTGCAGGCTTATCGACAAGCAGAATCGCATGGTGTATTTGTGTGACCATCTCTGTATACCAACCCCAATATATGTTATTGGTAAGTGCAGAAATGCATACTTGATTTGCATGCTTTACAATTTCGGGCTTGTTATGTTTCCTTGCAGGCACTACTATCAAGCAGCCCAAACCGATACATCTACTAGCAGTGCTGTATGATCAGTAGGCCTAGCTTGATTGGGTAGATTGTACTGTCGATTTGTACATCCAAAGTTTTATATTTAAAGAAAACGGCATATCCGCTCATTTGTATTATACTAAACAACAGTAGCGTGTCGAAACTGGCTAAATAGAATCCAATCGTTCGCCAATAGGAAAACGTTTTCGCACACCATAAATGCTCTGTGATTGGTCGACAAAAAAAGTTCACGTGCGTCGATTTTAATCTGATCTGACGGCTGGCGTTAGCGTACGTTGCCCGCCACGTCAGCATGTTTCAGTTTCATCTCGAATACGTCGTTTGCCACGTGGCCGCTCAGATACACTTTCGCCTAGGTTGCCCAAAAGTGACGTTTAGCAACTCCCTGGTTGCTTTACTGTACACCTTCCAGTTGCCCCAAGGTGTACAATTTTCGCCAAGAAAGTGATGGGAAAGTCACTTCGCAAGTAACCTGTGCTACCACTGTTTTCGAGTCAAACTTTATTTTTGCGCGGCGAATGCAACTGGAAAGTTACGAAAAAGCCAGTTTGTAGTTGCTTTTTGCACTTCCCTTTTCCGCGATGGAGGTGAGGGAAGAGGGGGAGGGAGGTGATTGCATGGGGGGCGGAGAGGTGATATCAGAGGGGGGAGGGAGGAGATGGCAAGGGGGGGGATGGGAGGTAATGGGCGGGGGGAAGGGAGGAGATGTGATGGTATGGGGTGAAGGGAGGTGATGGTAGGGGGTGATGGGAGGTGATGGTAGGGGGGGAAGGGAGGTGATGGCAGGGGGGGATGAGAGGTGATGGCAGAAGGGAGAGGAGGTGAGGGGTGAGGGCAGATGGGCACAATTTTCGAACACCCGATTGTCAATCTATCTCCTTCCAGCACCCTAACAACTGAATATCCCTACCGTCCCAATATCACCCACTCCATGTCCCATGCTGCAGTGTGCGACAAGAGTCGTTTCAGTTCCGTGCCCGCCTTCCCATTTGCAGCACTTGGGTTCCTTTTCGATTTCTTTCAACTGCCACATGCCTGTCCGTTGTTGCACATCGTTAGCGGTTGTTTTTTCATCCGACTCTAGATTTTTGTTGCGTGCAGGTAAATTTCGAGCCAATTCGAAAAGCGACTCGTGAGCAGCGACTCAGCATGGAAGGTGACTGGAGCGGCGGCGGCGGTGGCAGAGGCATGCGCCCGCAGGCAGCACCGGCGGAGCCCGACTGGCGCACACGGCTTCCGCGGGAGAAGCGGCAGATTTTAGTGAAGCGAATGTGCGTCACTCACTGGCTCGCTGTTGTTGAAACGAGATTGTTAAGCCTTAGTACCCTCAATTTTCAGTGATATTTTCTTTAATCCATTCCGTGATTCTCTATTGGTGCAATCTGGTGATGTCATGATAGTAGATTTGTGTTTCCTATTTTACTATGATGTCATCGTTTGCTGCAGCCGGGCCTCCATCGATTTCTCTTTGAAGTTTTTCTCCCTCTTCCTCTCCCCTCTCGCCTCTCCTTACCCCTCTCCCCTCTCCTTACCCCTCTCCCTCTCCCCTCTCCTCCCCCCTCACCCTCTCCCCTCTCGCCCTCCCCTCTCCCTCTCCCTCTCCTCCCTCTCCCTCTCCCTCTCCCTCTCCTTCTCCCTCTCCCTCTCCCACTACCTCTCCCTCTCCTTCTCCCTCACTCTCTCCCTCTCCCGTCTCCCTCCCTTCTCCTGCTCTGTCTCCCTCCCGCCCTACCACGTGTCACAGAATGGAGAGTCTACAGAAGTTCACATCAGCGCCCGACATGAACGAGCTGCACCGCGTGGCGGCATCCTTCGAGCAGAAGATCTTCTCAACGGCCACCAATCAGGTGCGAGCAGGCAACGGCCACCAATCAGGTGCGAGCAGGTAACGGCCACCAATCAGGTGCGAGCAGGCAACGGCTACCGATCAGGTGCGAGCAGGCAACGGCCACCAATCAGGTGCGAGCAGGCAACGGCGAGCAATCAGGTGCTAGCAATCAACGTTGTTTGCTCTACTCGAATGTCATTTCAGCAGAACATTCTCTCAGCGGCTACCAATTAGGCAGGTGCTAGCAATCAGGTGTTACCATTCATCTCTTGCATGCTGCTGGGCGATCACGAGTCTCGACTTGCTGTCCTGGCTCATGTCAGATAGAACCTTCTTTTCTTCTCTTTTCCCCCTCGAGCCTCAGGACGACTACCTGTGGCGCATATCCCAGAAGATGCTCTACATCAAGAGCAAGGGCCACATGCTGCAGGCGCAGGCGGCCGGTGGGACGAGCTCGCAGGCGTCTGCAGGGTCCGTTGCCACTGGCGGGATGACGGCCGATGCATGTAAGGAGCGTGGATGTGGGTGGTGCATGTCAGGATGTGTGTGTGTGTGATGCATGTAAGGATGTGTGTGTGTGTGGTGCATGTAGGAATGAATGTGATGGATATGACTATGAAGAGTGCATGTGGTGTTTTTTTTTGTTCGGTATTCAACGAGCAAACCCTACAGCTTCGCACTCTTCATTTCCAGCCTTCCACCCTAAAATGAAGATCGCCCTCCACCATCCATCGAAACCTAGTCACATGGTTCCTCACTGCCCTGGATTTTGTTTTGCCTGCCTGGACTGGACAAGCGATTTCCGAGTGTTGAAAACGCCAATCGCGATCGCGGTCACGTAGATTCGTTCCACAGAAGGCATGTATGAGAAACATGTATTACATGCACCACAGTCACAGTTACTCCTTATATGCATGACAATCGTATTGTGTTGTTCCTTGTATTACTCGCATCACTCGGATTGCAATGATTCCTTGGTGCGTTACTCGCACTCTTCACACGCATCACACCCACCGCTTACATGCGCCACACACAACACAGCCACTACGTCCATATAGTTCATTCATCCTGTACCTCCCTCTCCCCTTCGTTCATCCTGTACCTCCCTCCCCCCTTCATTCATCCTGTACCTCCCTCCCCCCTTCATTCATCCTGTACCTCCCTCCCCCCTTCATTCATCCTGTACCGCCCTCCCCCCTTCATTCATCCTGTACCTCCCTCCCCCCTTCATTCATCCTGTACCTCTCTCTCCC